AAGGGGGCCCCCCGGGTTTGCTGCTGGTGTTATTGCTGTTTCTGCTGCAGTTTCTGCTGCTGCTGCTGTTGCTGCTGTTGCTGCAGCAGAAACCGATGGAAGAGCAGATGAGAGCAGCAGCAGCAGCAGCAGCAGCAGCAGCACGAGTGCCGATTGAACGGCTATATGCGGCTTGCAGCTCATAGACAAAATATAAGTCTGAGGTTTGTTGCTGCTGCTGCTGCTGCTGCTGCTGCTGCTGCTGTTTCTGCTGCTGGTTCTGCTGTTCTTCTCTCCCCTCATCGTAAGCTAGAAAGGGAGACGGGATCGGGCGATCCCAGCCCAGGATGAGGGAGCAGCAGAGCAGCAACTTGTGCTGCTGCTTAGCGTTGAAGCTGCTGCTGGGGGGGCACCTGAAACCTAATAAAAAAAGAAAAAAAAGAAAAAAAAAGAATATATACCAGCGGTCCTGCTGCTGCTGTACGCCTCCGGCTCCTGCTGCTGCTGCTGCTGCTGCTGCTGCTGTTGCTGCTGCTGGTGTTTCATCGGCAACCGGCGCTATGCCTACGGCTGTTGCTGCTGTTGCTGCTGCTGCTGCTGCTGCTGCTGTGATAGAGTTAAAGACCTTCTCCAGTAGCTATAACAAAAAGAAACAGACATATTTCTGCTGCTGCTGCTGCTGCTGCTGCAGAAGAAAAAGAAGGTTGCTGCTGCTGCTGCTGCTGCTGCTGCTAATGTATCTCTGTATCGATGAGACAAAGAAAAGGAGAAAAAAACAGACACAGCGGCAGCTTCTAGAGAAAATAAAAAGCAAAAAACAAATAAAAAACAATAAAACTATAAAATATATTTATTTATTTATTTATTTATTTTTTATTTATTTATAAATAAGAAAAAAACGAAAAAAAACATCCGTCGTAGTCTAGGTGGTTAGGATACGCGGCTCTCACCCGCGCGACCCGGGTTCAAGTCCCGGCGACGGAATTTTTATTTTTTTTTTTATTTATATAAATAAATAATATTTATATATTTATTTATATAAATAAATAATATTTATGTATTTATACATATAAATAAATAATATTTATATATTTATTTATATAAATAAATAGTATTTATATATTTATACATATAAATAAATAATATTTATATATTTATATATATAAATAAATAATATTAATATACTTATATATATAAAATTATTTAAATGTTTATAAATATAGATAGTATTTACACTTATGCATATATTTATATTGTATATATTGTATATATTCTATATATTATATATAGTCTTTATACTATAGATATATTCTATATATTGTATATATTCTTTATATTCTATATATTCTATATATTATGTATATTATATATATTATATATGTACAATATAATATGTATATTAAATTTATTATATTTATTATATATATTATATATACTGTATATGTTGTACGTATGTGTATATATTCGATATATTATATATTATATATATTATTTATATTCTATATATTCTTTATATTATATATTATATACATTCTATATATTCTATATATATATATATATATA